TTTTCCTATTCATGCACTTCTCCGTTTTCCATTATCATTCTACCAATTTAACATCTTAATGATAAAATGAAAACACCACTATTCCATTATAACAATTCTGAAAACAGTATAATATTTTATCCACTTTCAGGCAGAGTAGGCAATAATCTTGTACATAAAAACATGGCATCCAAAAGGGTCAATGAAAAAAAAAATCACCTTGGAAAGATTTTGAAATTGGTTTCGTATCTGAAACCCAAGAAGACCAAGGATAGCTACACCGAGGCAAAACAAGAAAACGGACTCGACACTTAGCAGCCCACCTACTTCAGTAACTTCAATTGTTCCATTGTAGAAGGTACTTTGGTAGGGATTCTGATCAATTTCATAAACAATAGTCCCCACGAGATCATACGAACCCGGCTGTAAAGAATAGGAAACAATGTAACAAGTTAATGCTATGAATCCGGACACTCACATTGCTTGCTTTTTCAAGAGGTAACATATCTGCACTACCACAAAATGACAAAAATAAATACCTGTAAGAACTTGCTCACGCCAAATATGTAAGGGAAAGTTGCTTGAGCTGATGAAGGGACTGTTGCATTGTTGAAAGCCTAGTAAATCATCAAGCATACATCAATGAGAAATCCCCGATACATCAAATTAGCCAGAATCGTATTTTAAAACGGCAGTGTACATCCTATTTATATGGTACATGCTACATCTGGTAAAATTAACAAGATTAAAAACATCAAATCATGGTAGCTAGTCTTAGGCTATGTTTGGTTAGCTTATAAGCTTCTTGTATTCAAATAAGCTTCGTTTGATTGGACGGGTTTTTTTAAAAAACTCGAGCTTATCTCATAAGCTTCTTTGGGTAGCTTTTCAACTAAGCTCGCTGAAACCTTCATTTCAGTTAGCTTATTAGCTAATTTTACCAAACACTTTTATCATATAAGCAAGCTTTTCAGCAATAAGTCATAAGTTATAAGTTATAAGCTCGAAAAATCACTTATAACCTATAAGCTAGCTTATCAGCTAGTTTTACCAAACATAGCCTT